AGCGGATCCAGCCCCAAAGTGGGGGTAGGACTGCTGCGGCAGGAGGCAATGGGGCCAGGCCCATGGCAGAGGGAGTGGGAGGAGGGAGAATTCAGGCCTGTAACAGTGTTCTGAAACTGTCTGCTTTTGTGTATTAAAAAAAACAAATCAAACAAAAAATATTATTTTTTGAGATCAGTAATATCCCATCATTTCAGGTTAACCCTGAGAACTAATTTTGATGACAGCTCTATAGATACTCAATAATAGGGTAATAATTTACATTGATAAATGTGAAGAAAACTAGTTCTTTGAACTCACGAAACAAATAATATTCCTGCATTAGACACGTTTCTGAACTGTTCAAGAGAGTACCTTGTGGAAAAAATATTTTTCTTAAGAAATGGAGCAAATACCATGCTAAGACCATGTCAGTAGTTATTTGTATCATCTGTCTGTCAGTTTGAACTAATCCACTGATGTTCTCTCATCAGTAGAATATTACATAGGTTGTGGTCTTTTCAGCATACTCTGGTAGTAACTTTTTGTTCCGTTTTTGGTTAAAAATACATTCTTTGCTTTCAGAAGACAGTTTGATGGCATTGGTGTTGAAAGAGTTAATCATAAAAGTAATACTAATTTTAGTCAGTGGCACAAGTTTAAAATTCCCATAATATCATTTTTACTTAAACCGTATGTTTTAAAATATCCTTTAATGTTCTCAGTTGGCAAATAGGAATACTTGCAAACCTTTGCCACATTCTAGAATTTGTAAAAATCAAGTTTGTGGTTAAAAGGCAACTAGTCAAAACTTTTATTAAAATAACATCTTTTTTCTGCCCTGTGGAATTTCATTTAGGTTTAGTTGAACAACATAGTTTAAAAGTCCTATTTTCTGTCTGTTGCTTGTCTTCCATAGAGAAGTGTTCACAATGAGATACATCTATATTGGAGTGCTGAAGATTTGGAGTTCAGCCTTGCTGATGATAGATGGTGTAGAAGTGGTATTACAGTTATACAAAATAGAATGTATTTCTATCTTACTCTTTGAAAACTTAGAAAATTGAATACACAGTCTCTGACTCAGTTATTTAGGTTATAAAGTCACATACTTGGACATTAGAAAATGTTCAGTTTCTGGTTGCCTTTGCAAACTGAATTTGGTACCCTTGTGTATAAATTATGGTAGTCTTTAATTACATGATCTCATATGTTTCTTTTACTTGTAGGACTTCTGTGTCACTGGACAAAGAAAGGGATAGATTTAAGGTTGCATAGGCAACTGTAGATCTAGTATTTCTTAGTATTGCCTAAATAACTTTCTGCATTTAAGGAGCCTTTGCATGTAATTTATCTTTATATTGTTTAACAGAAAAGTAATATGGACTATGAACTCAATGTAATTTTTTTCATGGAAGTACTAATACTTGACCTGAAATATTAATTTTGATTTATTTCTGTAGTTGCCCAGCAGGAGGCTGAAAGAGTAAAAGATCTCAATGGGTCACTTATATCAGCAGCACCAAGAGGGACGCAAGTTCTTAACACTTCTTCTGAAATTCCTTCAACATTTCCATCAGATCAGTTTGTAAATGTTGCAAGAGAGTCTATGAGAAAGCAGAAAGTGAAACAGAAACTTGATTCTGTTACGGTATGTCAAATTTCATTATTTCCCATGAAGATGTAAAGTCATATTCATTGCATATGTTCTAGTTTATAGTTACCGCTGAGTAAACGGGCAGGGATTTACAGTACATCAGCTTCTCAACAGTAATTGTCCATGGGCATGTTCTTAATGTGTAGTCAATAAAAGTTAACCTATGATAGCTTATTCATAGATTCATAAACATTCGGGCTGGAAGGAACCCCAGAGGATCATCGAGTCCAGCCCCCTGCCCCAGGGGCAGGAAGTCAGCAGGGATCATAGGATCCCAGCAAGATAAGCATCCAAAAGCGTCTTGAAGGCGTTCAAAGTGGGTGCTTGAACCATCTCCGTTTGTTGTGTATTGTACAGCTGTACATTGCTCATGTTTCTCTTGATAAATGAATATAATGTAACTTCTGCTAATGTCAATTCACTTATGAATGGATATTTAAAAGAAATTACATAATGTAAACATAAGCTGTTATTGGTATCTATTTACCACCAGTTGGTGACCAGGACCTGTACTAGTATTAGCATTAATATGATTTGCCTAACAGCATATTCTGATTTTATTCAAGATCTCGCATCACAGGTTTGCATTTTAGAAGGTAAAAGTTGGGTCATTTGACTATTCAGGATCAGCATGGAGAATGTTGCCAGAATATCTATTCCTAACCTCAGTCTCTGCTAATATTCTGTGAAAAGGAGTTAAACAATAATTTACAAAAATCATCTTATTTTTATTGATTTTGTTTTTCATTTTTCCTCATTACATTATTTTAAGACCATTTTATTTAATTGTATATTCAGTATTGCCATCCTGAAAAGGATATCTCTCAGCAAGTCAGCAAATGGATTGAAAGATTGCTTAATTTCATTGTAGCAATGAACATTTTACAGCATGACTCCTCAGTGAATGGCCATTGATACTTCTCCCCTGCCTTACAGGCACAGGGCATCTGAGGATTAATTTTCTCCTTAGTGGAAGTTTAACAAAAGACTGAAAGATTCTTCTGAATCTTTATTTCATAGTTCTTACAACGTAGGCAAAAACAGTACTGTTTCCAAGATTGGTGCACAGTAGCTACGCAAGAGTGATTAATACTGATTAGCAAAAATCACCATAATCTTGATGCTTTTCAAGAACACATATTTACCTTTGGAATTGAATATAATGCTGCACCTGGAAACATAAATGTGACATATTTCTACTCAATTATGCCTGATCAGAGATCAGTAATTAAATTTGAAATAAGTACTTGGTTGTAATTGGAGGTAAAAATCAAATTGTACTTCTACTAAATAATTCTGCCAAAAAACCCTGTGCTTGTTTTAGAACCATGAGAACTGTACAGTTCAAACGGATATATACAATTGAAATTTTGTCATTGATTAGAAATGGCAAATGATTGTATTAAGTCTGTGAGAAGTTACATAATTATGACTTATCTTTGAAGACTGTAAACTTAAATGACTAATATCAATTCAGATATAGTCTTGCAGTCATCAACTGGTAGTTTTTATCATTTTAAGTTAAAATTAATTTGTTAGATTAATATAATTAATATTTAAAATATTTGCTTTCTATAGAAAAATGTAACTTCATCTGCTGTTTTTTGTTTTGCTAGTCATTATGTTGAGGATAATATGTTAATTATGTATTTGCATATAAGGTATTTCTTACATGAGAAGGATAAAATAATTATGGTTGATAATTTTCTACCATGTGCTCAACATTCATGGCATGCCAACATTGCCTTCAGTGGAGCCTAAAACACCACTTAGGCACATATTCATTTAATGGTACAGTGGGATCTGAACTCCAATTCCAACAGTCGTGTCTCCTGCCATGCCACACATACACGGCAGGATGTGCAATTTTGGGGTCAGGAATCAGATTACTTTTACTATTACTACTATTAGCTCTATTACTACTTGTGAGTGCCGGGGGAGCTCAGGCTCATGATCCTCTCCCTCCACCAACAAAGTGAAAGCCAAGTGTTCACAGCCCAGCATGAATTGAAGCACCAGACCCCATGGACCAAGGTCTTTACCCGGTTCCACTGTAGTACCAGGGCTGGGACTAACAATCAGCTAATTGTTGGTCCCCAGCGCCAGGACTGTATAGGATTCAGGAAATAACTTTTATGTGTTGCTACCCTGCCACATATTCAATTTAAGGCATGATGGAAACTAGCCACAAAAATATTACATGTCTTCTGTGGAATATTTTTGTGGCTGCTTTCCCATTTGTCATGCTGTTAATTCCTTGGCTGTGTGGCAAGGTTACTATTTATGGTGCAATTCACAGGGTAATCACATCTTAAGTACAGTATCTCCAAGGGCCTAAGAGGCATATCCTTCCACAAAAATGCATGCTTGTGATAGCCTGAGCAGGGCTCTGGATATGTGAATGAGATTTGTCTAATGCAGAGATGGGCAGTTATTTCAGGTGGATGGCCACTTCATACACATTAGAGCTGGAAGCGACCTCACAAGATCATTGGGCCCAGCCCCCTGCCCCACTTAATGAGGTTTGGTGAGCTTTCAAGGACTGCATGGGTAGCCCCTACCCCCTTGTCGTCATCTTGGGACCAGAAGTCCTGCCCCTAACCCCTGATGTTTGCTACCTGAAGTCCTTCCCCTTGCACTTTCTCCCGCTGGAAATACTCCTTTTGGGAGGAGGGGTTGGCCTCTTAGAACCAGAAAAAAAACAAATCATACACTAAAAGTCAAACACCTGTTATAACATATTTTAATTTTATTACAAAAAATGTTTTTGTCAAGATTTGTGTTTGCATACAGTATATAGGGGTGATTGCATAATAACTCAAAAAAATTCTTAGCCTTGTATATTGTGGGGCATGTTTGAGGGGGGTGTATGGTGGGGTGTAGGTTTGTGTAGGGGGTAGGGTGTATGTGTATGGTGGGGTGTGGGGGTGTGTGCATATATTGGGGTGTGGGGGCTGTGAGGGGGTGTGTCTGTGTGTGTGGGGGCATAAGGTACGTTGGTGTGTATATTTGGGGGGTTGTTGGGGGCAGGGTGTGGGTGTGTGGCATTTGTGGGGTGTGGGGGAGTGCAAACTGCCCCCCCCACACTCCCCACTTGGTACAGCAGCATCAGGCATGAGTGCTCAGGACGCTCAAGCCCAGCAGCACATGGCTTGAGCCAATGCTGCACAACATGATGAGCGCAGCCTGCCCTGGCCGCCTCTCACTGGCACTCCCCACCGTTCATGCACAGCCCCTGCACTCGCACATCACTGCAGGGAAGCTCCATGCTTTGGAGCCAGCTGCCTTTCCTGCTTCCTGCCACACAGGTCCTGGGACTCTGGAGGGAAGCAGGGGTCGGGGCTTCCCTCCACCTCTGCTGGAGCCCCAGGACCTGCATGGATGTCCTTAGTAGAGATGCTCCTGTGCATGCTACGAAGGCAGTGTAGACATGCCCTTAATCTGTATGATATTGGGTGCTGATTATTTTGTTCCTTATTTAGCAAAGGCTAAACTTTTCATGTTACTGTAAATTGTATTTGAAATGTCAGATGCAGAAACTCACTTGTATATAACTGCTCATTTTTCATATGTGTTTTAACAATGCTAAGTTGGTTAGGTACACCTATGACTGGTTTAGCTGTAATGGGTACGTCCACACATACAAGCATGTGCACTTGTAGCAGCTCAAATAGAAGCAGTGCAAATTTGAGCCAGGGTTCCTCCCAAATCTGCAGCCAGGGCGACTGCCCTGTCCTGGCCCAAGCAGTACAAAAAGTGGCCCTGGCAAGTAGCTCAGGGCTACTCACTCTCAGGAGCTTCTAGGGCCCAGCCAGTTGGTACCTGAGGACACTACCCCTTGCGCCAGCTGGACTGCTGCAGCAGCTCTGAGAGATCCCTGCACTTTTTACCCACTGCAACAGTCTGGCAGTGGGGGGCTGCTGCCTGGCTCTGACCTGCTGCGCACCTGCCAGACCCGGATAGGGACTGGACAGCCAGTAGAGGCATCTGCCCCTTTGGGCCAGCTGCCAGTGGGCTTAGCCTGCAGGATTGGCCTCTGTACGGCACTACTGCCATTTGGGCCCCCTGCCCAGCCATCTGGGCAGCCATTGCCCAGAAGATGTTCTGGGTGTGGTGGCCTGCGTTGAACTGTGAACGAATGTCCTCCTGGCCCCATTTGGCCAGGAGGTCATCCACAGCCAGCTGGGTCCAAGGTGCCAGCTCTGAGCAGGCAGGGTCCTGCCACTGGGCTCCCTAGCAGGAATTCTGGTGTTCCCTATTGGAAAACTGAAAAATCCCTGATAAAAAAAAATCCCAACATCACTCTGTAAAATACCTGAAAATCCGTGTTCCTCCACAATTAAAACAAAAGACACCTATAAAGAGAGAGAGAGAGAGAGACTGAGACAGAGACAGTGATCAGTTGGGCAATATTTTATTTATATATCTACAGTGTTAAAGCAATGTGGAAGCCTATGAGTGTCTCTATCATAATAATAAAGTGAACTCTAGATACATGTTTCATGAATTTCATGAATTCATGAATACATGTATATATATTTTGCTGCCCTCCCACAGGGGCTATGGCCCGACACAGGATCTGTGGCCCCTCAGCAGGTGCTATGGCCCCACACAGGGGTTACAGCCCCCCAACAAGGGCCAGATGGCCCCTGCAGGGGCTAGCCCCCTGCTACAATGTTATTTTGTAAATAATACAAGATTCTACTTTTCTCCCCACTTCCCTCATGCAATGCATGAATCATTCCTATTTTTTTGGGGCCCAAAAAATATGAGAGTAGAACCAAGACTTGAATCTTGGTCTTATCTTCAGCAGTGCAAAATACTAAAGCTGGTACATTAAGCTATATTGGGGCATACTTAGTAAAATTAATTTCTATTAATTTGTATGCTCTTAAATTTTAAAAACAAACCTTAATTTTTGGTGGGAGGAAAGGGCAGATGGTTGCCTTCTGTGAAATTGGATAGGAATTTGCATCTTGGCAGCAATTGTTATG